AGTCCGTCGTGCGTGACGCGAAAGAAAACCACGAGAAAAAAATGGCCGCGCGAAAGGAGGGACTACCGCCTAAGCCCAACAGTTTGAATTATGCGTTGCTCTCACGACGCAAAAATATGATTGGCTTATGTTAGGAGCGTTGACAACGTGTTGTCAACATTCGAGATGAGCGTGACGTCTTGCAGGAATCTTTTCTACAGACATTACTTTGATAATGGTGTAATTTTCACAAAGGACCTGCTTTATGACATGACAAATACTCAGTCATTTAGAGCAATGAAAGAGCAAGGTTTAACAAATTCAATTGTTTTGGTTTGGACTGGCCTGAGACAGTCTGCCTCATCGAAATTACGTGTTAATATACATAACTTCAAGACTGTCATTAACTTGGAAAATTATAAATGTAAAAACTACTAATATCATCTGATAAAATTCAAATATGAAAAGCCTAGGAAATGGGATAACCTTGGTCATGAATTTGATTTAAGACCAACTTTCAGAAGCATACCTGTTACCTTTGAGGGTTGCAAGCGAACCGTATGTACGCTCTTTTCAATACAAAGTGTTAAACTTCATCCTCTATACAAATGACCGTCCTTTTAAAATAGGATACGTATCAAATCCAAACTGCACCTTTTGTCAAGAGAGTCGAGAAACTATTCATCATATTCTATTTGAATGCTATTTTTCCAAGTGTTTTTGGAGTATGGTGTCCTCTTGCATATTAAATAGACATGGAAGTTGCGGGTGCCTCTCGATACGTGACATTATGATAGGTATTCTGAAGGAGGGAATGGATTTGATTAACTATTTAGTCATTCTAGGAAAAACATATCTGTGGACCTGTAGGTGTAACCATTTCAAAAGAATTTTGGAAATAAATATGAAACAGAAGAATACATAGCTTTTAAGGCAAATAAGATCAGCCAGTTTAAAAAGAAATGGGAAGTGTTTGAGGTATTTAATTTGAATTTAATTTAAATTAAATAATTATCAATAACTTTATAAGCAGCATTTCTTTCTTTTTTTTCATGTATTTTCGACTTAGTTATTACGTTGTATGTTGGAAAAAAATTAATGTCCTGTAAATAGACAAATAATGCAAAAAGGTTGTTGATCATAAAAAAAAAGAAAGAAAAACTTTTGCTTTTTACATTGTTATAAATTCAGACCTAAGAAAATTGTAAGTAATGACATGTAATATAAGTTTGAGTCATGTAAGTGTTGTTATGATTAAATAAATGCGTTGTTAAAAAAATACTAGAAGAAATAAAGAACAGGCGAAAAGCAGGAAACATTTCGATGCTAGACTTACCTTCGCTTGATAAGCAAATTCCAGAAAAATTTTATCAGACATTAGTGTTGAAAGTGAACGCCCGACTTCATGATAGTCTACTCTATCATCTTCAGGCCCCAATAGAACAAATATGAATCGCACTGGTATTTTCACTTCAGCAAAGTTATCCAGATCACAGCCACCAGCCAGCCTGACAAATGCGCTAATTACGCAGGACAAACCACTATGAGCTCCAACTAAAACTGTGGTGGCTTGAGCATTTTCCGGAATTTTTTCTTGTATTTCTGACGTCTCCTTGTGATTCTCAAAGAGATCCAAGTTCTCGTCTGTAGAATGATCATGGTTGACAGCCACTGTAAAATCTTCTATTTGTTCACTTGAGTCAACACCTCTTTGGAGAGGGGGCAACAAAAGTGGTTTGCTTTTAAAACTAACCTTGGGCCTGAAATGAGATAAATAAAATTAAATCAGTGGGAGCACAGGGCAGTCAGTGCAGAACGAAGACCTCAGACTTCAGACTGCAGACCCGCGGTGAACTGCAAACCAGAAGTAAAATGCAGACTATCGCAAAATAAAGATTAAAAACTTAAATAGCTGGGCCGAGGTTTCATAATTAGTCACAAAAGAAGTCATGCGATTTTAATGACGTGAAGACAACTGTAAACACATCGCTGTATACAAAACCGGCAATGGTTAGCGCAAGACCTGTCCTTTATGAAATCCACTTTTTGTTCCCCCAAAGCTTCACCAAGTTCATCAATTAACCTTTGCAGGATAATTGGGCTGAGGATTTTTCTTGGTACAACTACCATAGCAATTCTCCTAACTGTTACAGTTTGATAAGTCTCCCTTTTTGGGGTTTTTATCAGATAATCCTCCTTCCAGTATGCAGTAATAGTTTCTTGCTCCCACACCCTCTCCAAGATCTCATACAGCATCTGCGTCGAAGTGTTACATCTGCCTTTACAACTTCCGTTACATCTTATAACTATACATGTAGTTGTAACATAATAATTGTATTCAACACAAACTTCTGAAACAGACCTTTCAGTTAGCTCTGTACAAATGAAAAATAAAAATGCTATCGAAGAGAAACCAACGACAATGAGACAGTTCAAAGCTAACATTATCATTGTAACTATATCAAATGTGAGAATACCTAAACTTCGAGCCAGGATTCGAGCCAGGATTCGAGATTTACAAAAAAAAACAAAAAACTGAAAACATTTACAGCCCAAAATGACAACAGCAGTCAAAATATATTCTTCTCAAAGTTTAGTGACGGTCTTAGGAAGCACGTTGATATGCAAATTGTTATAGGAGGTGATTTCAATTGCGCTCTAGCACCTTTGGATAAAACTGGGGGAACTTCAACTGAGAGAAAAGATAGTAATTAACAAAATAAAATATTTGTGCACGAATTTCGACCTCCGAGGTGTGTGGAGATAACAACACCCCAAAACATCTCAACACACATGGTGCAATAACTCGTTTAAAGTGCAATGCAGGCTAGATTAGTGATGAAAAGTTCGTACAGGATCTTTGGAGTAAGATACCCGAGTTCAAAACAAAGCACGATTATTTAGACTACAAAGGCCTCCACTGGGACATTATTAAACTGGAGGTGAGAGGTTTCTGTGTTCAATATACAAAACGAAATACAGGGAACGCCGAATACCGATTCGCACCTGCAACAACAAATTGATCATTTGATGAACCTGCTAAGAACTGACAAAAAAAAAAAGAAAACATATCAAAAGGTGCTATGATAAGAAGCAGGATATGTTGGCACGAAAATGGCGAAAAAAAAAAACTAAACATTTTTTGATCATGGAAAAAAGACAACATTGTAAATCACACATTTCAAAGCTTAAAACAAACGACGATATGGAGATCAACGATCCTAAAACAATCCT